AGCCTGGGCGACAGAGTGAGACTCTATCAAAAAACAAAACAAAATCAAACCTCTATGCCATTAATAGTCATTCCCCATTTCCTCCAGTCCCCCAGCTTCAGGAAACCACTAATTTACCTCCTGTCTCTCTAGATTTGCCTATTCCGAACAGTTCAAATAAATGGAGTCATATATGTCTCCTTCATGTCTGGCTTCTTTCACTTAGCATAATATTTTCAGGGTTTGGGCTGGACGCATTGTTTCATGCCTGTAATTCCAGCACTTTGGGAGGCCGAGGTGGACAGATCACGAGGTCAGGAGATCGAGACCATCGTGACCAACATGGTGAAACCCAGTCTCTACTAAAATACAAAAAATACAAAAAATTATCTGGGCTGGTGGCGCATGCCTGTAGTCCCAGGAGACTGAGGGAAGGGAACGCTTCAACCAGGAGGTAGAGGTTGCTTTGAGCCGAGATCGTGCTTCCAGCCTGGTGACAGAGCAAGACTCTGTCCCCAAATAAAAAAAATAAAATAAATATTTCAGAGGTCATCCCTGCTGTACCACGCAGTTGCTATATTCTTTTTGCCAAATAATATTCCTATTTTATGGATATACCACATTTTCTCTGTTTACCAGGTTGATGACATTTGGTTGTTTATACTTTTTTCCCCAATTTGTTTTATTTTGTTAAAAAAATACATAACATGAATTTACCATCTAACCTTTTTAAAAAAAATGTATTGTTTTATTTTTAGAGAGGAGTCTGAGCACTGTCGCCCAGGCTGGAGTGCAGTGGTTACGATCTCGGGCTCACTGCAACCTCCACCTCCCTGGGTTCAAGTGATTTGCTGCCTCAGACCTCCAAAGTAGCTGAGGATTACAGGTGTCCGCCCACACCTGGCTAATTTTGTATTTTAGTAGAGACGGAGTTTCCACCATGTTGGTTCAGTCTGGTCTTGAGCTCCTGACCTCAAATGTCTGCCTGTTTGGCTCCCAAAGTGCCGCCGAATTATAGCATGAGCCACTGCACCGGCCTATCTTGAGCATTTTAAAAAAAAAAAAAAAAAAAAAAAAAAAATTAATATTTAGTGGTATTAAATACATTCATAATCACATGCAGCCATCATCCATCTCCCCAACTCATTTCAACGTTATGAAACTGAAACTCTGCCCATTAAACACTGACTTCCCATTTCTCTGTCTCCCCAGCCCCTGGCAAACCATCTGCTGTCTATGTATATAATTTTGACTGCTAAGTACCTTATATTAAATGGAATCATACAGTACTTGTCTTTTGTGACTGGCTTATTTCACTTAGCGTAATCTCTTCCAGGTTCATTCATGTTGTTGCAAATGACAGACTTTCTTTCTTGTTTGTTTATCCATGGTCCCTGACTCTGACCCTAACCCTGACTTCTTTAGTTATTTCCACATTTTTGCTGCTGTGAATAATGCTGCTATGAATATGGCTGTACAGATGTCTATTTGAGTCCCTCTTTCAGTTCTTTTGAGCATATACCCAGAAGTGTAAATGTTGGGTCATATGCTAATTCTCTTTTTTTGAGACAGAGTCTCACTCTGTCTCCCAGGCTAGAGTGCAATGGCGTGATCTTGGCTCAGTGCAACCTCTGCCTGCCCCCCGAGCTCAAGTGATTATCTCACTTCAGCCTCCCAGGTAGCTGAGATTACAGACATGTGCCTCCACACCCAGCTAATTTTTGTATTTTTAGTAGAGATGGGGTTTTACCATGTTGGCCAGGCTAGTCTTGAACTCCTGACCTCAAGTGATCCGCCTGCCTCAGCCTCCCAAAATGCTGGGATTACAAGCGTGAGCCACCACACTGGGCCCTAATTCTCTTTAATTTTTTAAGGAACTACTGTATTTTCCATGGTGACTGTACCGTTTCACATTTCCAGCAACAGTGCATAAGTGTTCCAATTTCTCCACATCTTTGCTAACACTTTGTTTTTGAGACAAGGTCTTGCTTTCACCCAGGCTGGAGTGCAATTGTAATGCATTGCAGACTCAAACTCCTTGGTTCAAGCAATCCTCCTGCCTCAGACTCTCAAAGTGTTGGGATTGGGGCCAGCGCAGTGGCTGTAATCCCTGTACTAATGTATGTAAGGTGGGAGGGTATGCTTTGATACTGTTTGTATATATTAGTCTATGCCAAAGAAATAATTTTTTAAAAAATGGATTCTTGGCTGGGTGCAGTGGCTCATGCCTATAATCCCAGCACTTTGGGAGGCCCACGCGAGCGGATCACTTGAGGTCAGGAGTTCAAGAGCAGCCTGGCCAGTATGATGAAACCCCATCTCTACTAAAAATACAAAAGAAAAATTAGCTGGACCTGGTAGTGCATGGTTGTAATCCCAGCTACTTGGAAGGCTAAGGCAGGAGAATTGCTTGAACCCAGGAGGTGGAGGTTGCAGTGAGCAGAGATTGTGCCGCTGCACTCCAACCTGGGTGACAGAGCAAGACCCTGTCTCAAAAAAAATAATAATAATAATAAAAAGGGATTCTTTTTCTGTTATAGACCTTTTTTAACATGCAATTTTTGCAGTTGCAAATAATGCCATTTTTGCAATGACCTACGAGTATTGTTGCTATTTATTTATTTACTTATTTTTATTATTATTTTTTTGAAACAGAGTCTCATTCTGTACCCCAAACTGGAGTGCAGTGGTACGATCTCGACTCACAGCAACCTCAGCCTCCTGGGCTCAAGGGATTCTTGTGCCTCAGCCTCCTTAGTAGCTGGGACTACAGGTGTGCTCAACGATGCCTCGCTAATTTTTTGTATTTTAGTAGAAACGGGGTTTCACCATGTTGCCCAGGGTCGTCCCAAACTCCTGAGCTCAAGCAGTCTGCCCACCTCAGCGTTCCAAAGTGCTGGGATTACAGGTGTGAGCCACTGCCTCCGGCCAAATGCATTATTTTTTAAAACATGTCAGTTCTTTATAGTTTACTATTCATTTCACACTTAAATGCAATTTATTTTTTTAAATATTTTGTTATTTCACAGAAAATCCATCATTTAGGAACTAGCCAAATAGTAGATATTCTTCTAACGGTTTTTCTTATTATTCTTACTTAGCTTTTGAAGAAAGAGGATAAAACTGCTCTCATTTATTCCTATGGCTTGCAAGAGGTAATTACATTAGATTTCTAGGTTAATATGTGGGTGAATATACCTTTATGTTTTCCATTCAAAATAAACCCATATTTTATCAAGAGCAAGTTATTTCAATACCTTAGTGTTCTTAACTGCAAAATGGTAATATTAATAGGTACTAACTTTATAAAGTCATTTTGAGATCAAAATTCCTGTAAACTGTTGTGCATAGTACCTGGTACCTGCTAAATATTCAAATGAAGATAAGCTGTGATGATGATTATGATGGTGCCAAAATACATGTGTGTGTGCATGTGAGCATATAAATATTTAAATTCTTAGTTCAAAGTAAGTATTGTAATCTACCTGCATTTTACCATAAGAACTTAGAAATCAGTGAGAAAATGGATTTTAAAGTGTTCCTACAATTTTTGTATATGTGCCTTTATAATTGGATGTAATTGGAAATGTTTTTCTTATCCCATGTTTTGTGTGTGTGTGTGTGTGTGTGTGTGTGTGTGTGTGTGTGTGTGTGTGAAATAAAGGCAGTCCTATGGGAATTGACTTGTGATACGAGATAAATGTGAATGTGTATAGACATGTGAAATGTAATGATTAATTGTTAATGTTTTTTAATTTCAATATTGTTGCATATAAATTCAGATTATTAAATTATTTCTTCTTCAGGTTCTAAGAGCTCATGCAAAATTGACTACTTTTTATGGAGCATTTGGACCAGAAAAATTCAGGTGTGTACATTTTCTGTTAAAATTTTTTTGGCCAGGCATGGTGTCTCATGCCTGTAATCCCAGCACTTTGGGAGGCCGAGGCAGGCGGATCACCCAAGGTCAGGAGTTCGAGACCAGCCTGGCCAACACGGCAAAACCTCATCTCTACTAAAAATACAAAAGTTAGCCGGGCATGGTGGTGTTCATCTGTAATCTCAGCTACTAGAGAGGCTGAGACAGGAGAGTCGCTTGAACCCGGAAGGTGGAGGTTGCAGTGAGCCAAGATCGTGCCACTGCACTCCAGCCTGGGGGACAGAGCAAGACTCGGTCTCAAAAAAAAAAAAAACTTTTTTTCTTTTTTTTAAAGATTATAAGTTACATAGAAATTTGGAATGTCATAACAGGTATAGCATTCCTCTTGCTGAATTTGTGTTTCTATGGGGGCTGTTGAGTGATAGAAAATGTTATCTTTTTAGCAACAAAAACTGGCTGAACATCCTTGTTGTCATTTCTTCTTTTTTGAGACAGGGTCTCACTCTGTCACCCAGGTTCAAGTGTGGTGGTGTGATCATAGCTCACTGCAGCCTCAACTTCTTAGGCTCAGTAAAAATCTAACTATCCTGGATAAATTTGGTTCCTTGTCTGCAAAGAAGTAAACTCTCTTAAAACCATTTCTAAGTTTCAATGTTCTAAGGTTATATAGATTTATATTGGTTCTGTAGCTGACATTACTATTTAGCAGTAATAATTATGTCCTGTATGACACAAAACATTGTTTATATTGCAAGGCATTATGGAAACCTTTCATGTACAACAGGTACTCCAAGATACCCGCTAACCCGCAGCTCCCAGGTCATTCTCTGTGGGCTCAAGCAGCCACTCCAAGGCAGCCACAATTTTTTTTTTTTCCTAATAGTAAATTCACCCATGAATTGTGTTCATTAGGCCACCTTAGCAGTGAGAATGGCAGATCTTCATATATGTAAGTCTATCTTTTCTATCCTGTTGATTAATAGCCATAAAAATTGGATTTACTTGTGTTTTACTTACTGAAAATGTCACCTCTTTAGAATGATCTGTCTCTTCTTGTGAGGCCAGTCCTGCCCATATGATGACTCTTTCCGCAGTTTTCTCAGCTTCAGCAGGAGGCAAAGACTTCAACAGGAGATAGGCGTCACCCTATAAACAGGGTTTGAAAGGAAGAAAAAACAGCTGGTATTTGCAAAGGACAGTGTGGCCTTACCTCTTTCTCTTCTATTTAAAGGCGAAAATACATCATTTGGAAAAACATTATGGTTCAATGTTTTTTGTTTTTTTTTTTTTTTTTTTGAACGGAGTTTCGCTCTGTCGCCCAGGCTGAAGTGCAGTGGCGTGATCTCGGCTCACTGCAAGCTCCGCCTCCCGGGTTCACGTCATTCTCCTGCCTCAGCCTCCTGAGTAACTGGGACTACAGGCGTCTGCCACCACGCCCGGCTAATTTTTTGTATTTTTAGTAGAGACAGGGTTTCACCGTGTTAGCCAGGATGGTCTCGATCTCCTGACCTCATGATCTGCCCGTCTCGGCCTCCCAAAGTGCTGGGATTACAGGCATGAGCCACTGCGCCCGGCCTTTGTATTTTTTTTGAAATACAGTCTCGCTCTATCGCCAAGGCTGGAGTTCAGCAATGCTATCTTGGGTCACTGCAACCTTCGCCTCTCGATTTCAAGCATTTCTTGTCCTCAGCCTCCCAAGTAACTGGGATTATAGGCGCCTGCCACCACGCCCGGCTAATTTTTGTGTTTTTAGTAGAGACGGTGTTTCACCATGTTGGCCAGGCTGGCCTCAAACTCTGACCTCAGGTGATCTATCCACCTCAGCCTCCCGAAGTGCTGGGATTACAGGTGTGAACCACTGCACCTGGCCTTATGGTTCAATGTTTTAATAATCTGAAAATCCATTTCTGATGATAGCAAACAATAAAATAAATTTACAATATAAGTAATGAAGATTTGTTTAATTCTCAGTTGTTGCTATGATTATAGAATCGTATAAAAATAATGACATTTAAAAACACAATAAAAGAGAACCCACACCCCATTCTAGAATTAAAGGGTCCTAGAAGGTATAAAACGGAGTCTGCCCCAGGTGCAGTGGCCTGTAATCCCAGCACTTTGGGATGCCAAAGATACCTGGCTGGGATCCTCTCTGATGATCCTCCTACCTCAGCCTCCCAAGTAGCTTGGGACTACAGATGTGCACCACCACATCTGGCTAATATTTTTAATTATTTTTTTAGAAATGCAGTCTCTCTGTGTTGTCCACTCTGGTCTTGAACTCCTAGGCTCAAACGATCTGCCTGCCTCAGCCTGCCAAAGTGCTGGGATTACAGGTGTGAGGTACCACGCCCAGTGGTCATTTCTTTAACACAAATATTTTAACCTTTGATCATAGATTCTTACCATATCTTCTAATTGCTCATTTCCCTTCATTGTTAGTTTATTCTGATAAATAGATTTAAAGTAAGTATATCTCTAATTTTAAGTAGTGATATTTTGGTGCACACGGAAGTACATCTATGGATTCAATTTCCGGAGGTGCAGTTGCTAAGGCAAAAGGTTATTCATCCAAACTTGGCTTCCAAAGCACCTATTCCAATAGAATGAGAAGGGGAGGGCCCATTTTCTCACTCATTCACCAACAGTATGTTATAGAACTTTTTTTTTTGCCAATCTGATATATGCACAAAAATTTAAAAAATATTACCACATTGCTTTGATTTCCATTCTTAATTTTGGTTGAAATACTTACTTTCTCAAGGTGAAAAGCCTTTTTTTTTTCTCCTTACATCCTTGGTCCCTCTTTCTCTTGAGTTGTGTGTTTTTTTTTTTTTTAACTGAGACCTATTTCTATGGTTTTATTATTTTTTTAGAGACAGAGTCTCCCATGTTGCCCAGCCTAGTCTCAAATTCCTGGGCTCAGGTGATCCTCCTGCCTCAGCCTCCCAAAGTGCTGGCATTACTGCCATGAGCCACCATGCCTGGACCGAGTTATTCTTTTCAAAATTGATTTTAAAGTTCTTTGTGGGTATTTCAAATTGTCCTCTAATTTGGCATTTTTTCTTGACTTTGTTATTGATATTTTTTTACAAAAAATTCAGAAGTTTGTATTTTTGTGTCTGTTGGGAAAGATATTACCCACCCCAAGATTCAAAATAAATTCTTGGCCAGGTACAGTGGCTTAAACCTGTAGTCCTAGCACTTTGGGAGGCTGAGGTAGGCGGATTGCTTCCCAGGAGTTCAAGACCAGCTTGGGCAACATAGTGAAACCCTGTCTCTACATAAAATACTAAAATTTGCCAGGCAACGTGTCCAGGTGCTTGTAGTCCTGGCTACTAAGGAGGCTGAGGTGGGAGGATCACCTGAGCCTGGGAGGTTGAGGCTGCGGTAAGCTGTGATTGTGCCACTGCACTCCAGCCTGGGTGACAGTGAAACCTGCCTCAATAAATAAATAAACAAAATCTCTTGTAATTTTTCATTTTTAGAGTTTCTTTTTACATTTAAATCTTTTTTTTTTTTTTTTTTTTGAGACAGAGTCTAGCTCTGTTACTCAGGCTGGAGTGTGGAGTGCAGTGGTGCAGTCTTGACTCACTGCAACCTCTGCCTCCCAGGTTCAATCAATTCTTCTGCCTCAGCCTCCTAAGTAGCTGGAATTACAGGTGACCGCCACCATGCCTGGCTATTTTTTGTATTTTTAGTAGAGACAGGGTTTTACCATGTTGACCAGGTTGGTCTTGAACTTCTGACCTCAAGTGGTCCACCCGCCTTGGCCTCCCAAAGTGCTGGGATTACAGGCATGAGCTATCACGACCGGTTGATTTTTAAAAATTTTTAACCAGCTACCTTACTGAATTTCTTTATTATGCATAGTAATATTTCATTTGATCTTGTTTTTTCCAGGTATATAATTTTATATTCAAATAATGAAATTTTATCTTATCAGTTCTGATTATCTTTTTTCCTTGTCAAATTCATTATAGAACACTTATTTATTTAAAAAATAGACCGGGCATGGTGGCTCATGCCTATAATCCCAACACTTTGGGAGGCTGAGATGGGTGGATCACTTAAAGTCAGGAGTTCGAGACCAGTCTAGCCAACATGGTGAAACCCCATCTGTACTAAAAATACAAAAATTAGCCAGGCATGGCGGCGCACGCCTGTAATCCCAGCTGCTTGGGAGGCTGAGGCATGAGAATCTCTTGAACCCAGGAGACAAAGGTTGCAGTGAGCCGAGATTGTGCCACTTCACTGCAGCCTGGGTGACAGAGTGAGACTCCAGCTCAAAAAGATAAAATAAAGTAAAATAAAACAAAAATGCCTATAATCCCATCTATTCAGGATGCTGAGGTGGCAGGATTGCTTGAGCCCAGAAATTCAAGTCCAGCCTGAGCAACATAGTGAGATCCCATCTCAAAAAAACAAAAACAAAACAAATAAGAGTGAAAAATAATTATTTCTATGTGCAGTGATTATCTGAGGAGGGCCCTACAGGAAGTTACATGTCTCTGAGGAAGGTGGCGGGAGTTCTAGGGTCCGAGATAGGAAGGAAATGTGCTTTGCACCGTGTGATCTTTGGAACTGGGTTTTTTTTTTAGTTTTTTGTTTATGAAGAACAAAACTAATTAAAATGCATTTAAAGATATCCACTTAAAAGGTATAACCTTAATTTTCTTTAAAACTGACCTTTTCCCCTTCTTTGTCTATTCAGTGGCAGTTCTTGGATTGAATTTCTAAATAATGAAGATGATCTCAAAGATATTTTTTTACAGCTAAAAGAAGGAAACCTTGTATGTGCACAGTACCTTTGGCTTCGACATCGGGTAACGTGTTTTACATTTTTTCCTTAACAGCTTTATAGCTCCTGAGTTAGGTGATTGAATCAATGTTGGAAACTAACAGGTGCAAGTCTGACTGGGTGATGGGGTGTTTTTTGATTGGTTCTTAAAATATGACTTGCTTTTGTTCACAAAGGGCAAGGGGATGAAAAAGACTTTCCCCATGGGCTGGGCGCGATGTCTTACGCCTGTAATCCCAGCACTTTGGGAGGCCGAGACGGGCTGATCACTTGAGGTTGGGAGTTCGAGACCAGCCTGGTCAATCAACATGGTGAAACCCTGTCTTTACCAAAATTAAAAAATTTACTGGGCATGGTGGCATGTTCCTCTAGACCCAGCTACTTGGGAGACTGAGGCAGGAGAATTTCTTTAACCTGGAAGGTGTAGGTCGCAGTGAGCCGAGATCATGGCACTGCACTCCAGCTTGAGTGATGGAGTGAGACTCTGTCCCAAAAAAAAAAGACTTTCCCCAGAGAAAATTGTCCTCTGATGATATTAAATCAGAAAAAGTACAGTGAAGGTACAGTAGAACCTTATTTTATCCAATCATTAATAGTCTAGCTTCTTGGGAGCTAAATGATGAGAACACGTGGATGCATAGAGGGAAACACATACCAGGGCCTTTCAGAAGGTGGAGGGTGGGAGCAGAGAAAGTATCAGGAAAAATAGCTAATGGTTATAGGCTTAATAACTGGGTGATGAAATAATCTGTACAACAAACCCCCTTGACAAAAGTTTACCTACATAACAAACCTATACTTATACCACTGAACTGAAAAGTTAACCAAAAAAAAGAGTCTAACTCCTAATCTTAGCTCAAAAGGCAACATCTGGTTTATTAGTGGGCTTTCTAATGTAGCATTGGTGGAGAAGATGTTGCTACTGTAGCTCAGATTGTGGTAAAAGATTGCCCTTTAAAATTGCTTGTCTCTATCCCCTTAAGGTTGGCCGAAGTTGGTATAGAGTATTAGATCCATGAAGTCATAACTTGTCGTGATGCCATTAATGGCTGCATTGCTTGTTAGAATTCCTACTATCACCTGCAGTGAAGTTTTCCTTAGAATACTCGTTCTCTGCTAGTTCCTCTGCTACATGCTAAACTATTTGGCACTCAGCGCCGTGACATTGCCTACAGTATGCAGCTCCCAACTAGAAACATTTGCATAATGTAAATCTCCTTTAGCACTCATTATTAAATCAATAGGGTATTCCTTAAAATGACTTCCTAAAATATCTTTGTCAAACATTTGGGAGACTTTTGGTTTAAATTTGTCAGATCTTAATTTCTTGCTCCTTATAATTTAGGCAAACTTTGAAAGCAGATTTGATGTGAAAATGCTAGAGAGCTTGCTCAACTCAATTTCTGCATCAGTCTCTTTGCAAAGGCTATGTCCATGGTTTAAAAATGATGTGATTCCATTTGTAAGAAGGACTGTACCGGAAGGACAGGTAAGTTGTCTTCAGTATTTCTACTCTTGATGACTTTATTTCGTTTTTTACATTAGATCATTGAAGATTAAGTCATGTTAACACCAGTTAGTTAAACAGTAAACTAACACCTGTGTTAAAGTGTCTCTTAAAAAACAACCATGAGGCTCGTGGCTCAAGCCTGTAATCCCAGCACTTTGGGAGGCCGAGATGGGCGGATCACAAGGTCACGGGATCGAGACTATCCTGGCTAACATGGTGAAACCCTGTCTCTACTAAAAAAAAAAAAAAAAAGACAACCATGATTCAGAATGAGCTGTTTTCATTTGCAACAACGTAGATGGAACTGGGGATTATTATGTTGAGTGAAATAAGCCAGGCACGGAAAGACAAACATCACATGTTCTCACTTATTTATGGGATCTAAAAATCAAAATAATTTAACTCATGGCCATAGAGAGTAGGAGGATGGTTACCAGAGGCTTGGAAGTGTTGTGGGTTGACGGGTGAGAGGTGGGGATGGTTAATGGGTAAAAAAATATATATTTAGAAAGAATGAGGCTGGGTGCGGTGACTCATGCCTGTAATCTCATCACTTTGGGAGGCTGAGGTGGGTGGATCACCTGAGGTCAGGCGTTTGAGACCAGTCTGACCAACATGGGGAAACCCTGTCTCTACTAAAAATACAAAAGTTAGCCGGGCATGGTGGCATGCACCTGTAATCCCAGCTACTTGGGAGGCTGAGGCAGTAGAATTGCTTGACCCAGGAGGTTGCAGTGAACCGAGATCCTGCCATTGCGTGAGATCCAGCATGGGCGACGAGCAAAACCCTGTCTCAAAAAAAAAAAGAATGAATAAGACATACTATTTGATTACACAAGAGAGTCAATAATAGCTTAATTCTATATTTAAAAATAACTAAAACAGTGTCATTGGATTGTTTGTAACACAAAGGGGATGGACACCCCATTCTCCATGATATGATTGTTTCGCATTGCATACCTGTATCAGCACATCTCATGTACTCCACAAGTATGTACACCTACTATGTACCCACCCACATACACACACAAGACAGTCGTGGATAAGACGTTTATGGACAAATTAAATTTCTAAAGGAAAAAAAGAAATGGTGGAGGTTTTTAGTTATATCAGTGATTATCCATTAAGACTTTTATTTTTAAATGATCTATTTCAGATAATTCTTGCAAAATGGTTGGAACAAGCAGCCAGGAACCTTGAATTAACTGATAAGGTAATACTGATTTAATTAACAGTAAAAAGACATTTTGCACGCTCCCAACAGTATAATACGTTGTTTGGAACTGTCTGTAATCTTTTTTTAAAGGCAAATTGGCCAGAAAATGGACTCCAATTGGCAGAGATATTTTTTACAGCAGAAAAAACGGACGAGTTGGGATTGGCATCTTCCTGGCATTGGATTTCCTTGGTATGATGTGGAGAACGGATTTTTAGCAATGAAACAGTCAGTTTACCTGAAAGGGTTTGTCCACATGTATGTAAAGTATCTGGACATATATCTACTTCTTACATTTTCAGTTTTTGTGTTCCTTTTTTTTGTTTTGTGCCTTTAAAATACATATGTAGGAAAAGTTGCTTTTTTTTTGTTTTTAATATTTCTGTTACAACTTCAACCAATTTTATTTATTTATATATTTATTTGTTTATTATTTATTTTTGAGACAAGGTCTCACTCTGCTGTCCCAGCTGGAATGCAGTGATGCAACCATAGTTCACTGCACCCTCAACTTTTGGGCTCAAGTGATCCTCCCACCTCAGCCTCCTGAGTAGCTGGGACTACAGGTGCGCATGACCATGCCCAACTGATTTTTGTAGTTTTTGTAAAGAAGGGGTTTTGCCATGTTACCCGGGCTGGTCTTGAACTCCTGGGCCCAGGCGATCCACCCACCTGGGCGTCCCAAAGTGCTGAGATTATAGGTGTGAGCTACTGTGCCCAGCCCTCTCAACCGGGTTTTTTTTTGTTTTTTTTTTTTTTGAGATGGAATCTTGCCCTGTTGCCCAGGCTGGAATGCAGTGGTGCAGTCTCAGCTGGCTGCAGCCACCACCTCCCAGGTTCAGGCAATTCTCCTGCCTCAGCCTCCCATGTAGCTGAGACTGCAGGCACCACCACCATGCCTGGCTAATTTTTTTTTGTATTTTTAGTAGAGATGGGGTTCCACCATGTTGGTCAGACTAGTCTTGAATTCCTGACCTCAGATGATCTGCCCTCCTCGTCTTCCCAAAGTGCTGGAATTGCAGGCATGAACCACTGCTCCTGGCCCCCTTCAACCTGTTTTAATGAACAGTTTTTCTCTATTGAACCAACCAAAAGGAGAACTATATAAACATTCTTCTAAGTGGTATAATTGGGATTTTCTGCATTAGCAGCATTTCACAATCCTTTGAAAAATTAGATCTTAGCTGGGCATGGTGGCTCACGCCTATAATCCCAGCACTTTGGGAGGAATCCGAGGCGGGCGGATCATTTGAGGTCAGGAGATCAAGACCAGCCTGATTAACATGGTGAAACCCCGTCTCTAGTAAAAATACAAAAACAATTAGCCAGGCCTGGTGGTGGGTCCCTGTAGTCCCAGCTATTTGAGAACCTGCGGCAGGAGAATCGCTCAAACCTGGGAGGTGGAGGTTGCAGTAAGCCGAGACTGTGCCACTGCACTCCTGCCTGGGTGACAGAGCATGACTCTGTCTGTCCCCCCCACCCCCTAAAAAAGAAAAATTAAGTCTTGATAGTACATTAGTATTAGTTTTTAAAGGTTGTATCTATCAAGTCACCTTTTCTGTGTAAGAGCTTTTTCCTCTTGCTGTAAAACATGATTTTTATCTTTTCCCTGTTAACTTTTATCAATATTGAAGGTTCTGTTCTTTGTATATAATTTTAGGAAATGTTACGCCTTTATATCTGGTTATGATATATAATCTGTATAGATAGATGGGACACTGAGCACTATCTAAATGATGCCATGTACTAAGTATACTTGGGTTCTGAAAAAGTATTATACTAATATTCTTAATTTTTCTATTTTTAAGAGAAAGAAAATTTCTTTCAAATTCTGATCTATACTAATTTAGTTAAAATACTACAAAATTTAGAGCATAAGTTGGTTTAAACTTGCAGGTTTCCTCTTATGTGCATAACCAGGGTTATTTCTCATTTTATCTGAAATAATTCTGATTCTATTTTTCTCTCACACTTTTATAGTTAACAACTTTAACACTTTTGTTTTAGAAGGATTATCAGAACACAGAGGAAGTATGTCAGCTGAGAACTTTGGTAAATAACTTGCAAGAGTTGATCACATTGCATAGGAAGTACAACTGCAAATTAGCCCTCTGTGATTTTGAGAAGGTAAAGTCCAGGGTCATAGGATTTATTTTGTATGTCAAGTTATGGGTGGAGTCTGTATTTATGCCATCTTTCTTTCCTTTGGCATCCAGGAAAATACAACCACCATAGTGTTCCGAATGTTTGATAAAGTGCTGGCCCCAGAGCTGATTCCCTCCGTCCTAGAGAGGTTTGTAAGAGTTTACATGAGAGAACATGACTTGCAAGAGGAGGAACTTCTGTTGCTGTATATAGAGGTAACTTTTCCTTTAGATCTAGTCTTATTTCTTGGATCTGTGCAGTGCAGCACTGCAGTAAATATTTAATTCTTTAAGGAATGTCATATGCTTTATCAGTAGGACTCATGCAGCATATTGAATTGGTTAAAAATGTGGATTAATTCTGCTACTAATCATCTTGAGCAGAGTGGGGATACATTAGGACTGTGAACCCAGAAAATCTGAGACAGGTCTCAGTTAATTTAGGGAGTTTATTTTGCCAAAGTTGAGGATGCGCCCATGACACAGCCTCAGGAAGTCCTGAAGACATGTGCCCAAGGTGGTCCGGGCACAGTTTGGTTTTATATATTTTAGGGAGAGACATGAGACATCCGTCAGCATATGTAAGAAGTACATTGGTTCGATCTGGAAAGGTGGGACAACTTGAAGCAAAGGCAGGAAGGCTCCAAGCGGGAGGGAGCTTCCAGGTCACAGATAGGTGATACAAAATGTTAAAATTCTTTTGAGTTTCTGATTAGCCTTTCCAAAGGAGGCAGTCAGATAATGCAGCTATCTTAGTGAGCAGAGGGGTAACTTTGATAGAATGGGAGGCAGGTTTGCCCTAAGCAGTTTCCAGCCTGAGTTTTCCTTAGTGATTTTGGGGGCCCAAGATATTTCCCTTTCACAGTACTTTCTTCAAAGGGCTATTGTGAGATCACAGGAGCATGAGCTCAATAAATATTAGCAATTATTTCTTGTGGACATTATTAATGTGCTACAGTAATCTTATTTGTAGATTCTTCAAGAATATTTCATTCTTAAATTTTCTATACCATATAAAACTAAAGTCCCTTTTTTGTGTTTTTTGCCCGTTTTGTATTTGTAGACTTATTCACATTTATGCCTATTGAGAATTTTTTTGTTTTTTTTTTTTTTTTGAGATGGAGTCTCGTTGTCACCCAGTGGAGTGCAGGTGGCCGGATTCAGTCACTGAAGCTCCGCTTCCCCAGGTTTACGAATTCTCCTGGCCTCAGCCTCCCGAGTAGCTGGACACTACAGCGGCCTTACCTCGCCCTAGTTTTTTTGTTATTTTTTAGTGTAGAGACGGAGGGTGTTCGCTGATTAGCTCGGATGGTCTCGATCTCCTGACCTCGTGATGCCGTCTGGCCTTCCCAAAGTGCTGGGATCAGCAGGCTTGAGCCACCGGCCCGGGCCATGGGACTAGATTGGAATTTTTAGGGTTGTTTTTTTTTTTCTTTAACAATCTATCAAGCCATGTAATTATCTGTTAGCCTTTATGTGGGCTTTATTATTTTTTTTTTTTTTTTTGAGACGGGTTCACTCTGTACCAGGGGCTGGAGTGCCAGTGACTCTAATCACGATTCCACTGCACGCGCCTGCGCGCTACGGGTTTATCAGTTCTCTGCCTCAGACATCGCGCGATAGCATGGGGACTCATAGGCCGGTGCGGTGCACTCGCAGCTAAATTTTTTGTATTTTAGTAGAGACGCGGTTTCACGTGTTAGCAGGATGGTCTCGATCTCCTGACCTCGTGATCCGCCCGTCTCGGCCTCCCAAAGTGCTGGGATTACAGGCTTGAGCCACCACACCTGGCCTATGTGGCATTTTTTAATGGGAATTTTTAATTTTTAAAAAACATACATGTTTATCCCTTTTTAGGATTTACTGAATAGATGCAGTTCAAAGTCCACATCACTCTTTGAAACAGCATGGGAAGCAAAGGCCATGGCAGTAATAGGATGTTTATCTGACACGGACGTAAGTAAATAGTGACCATTCGTGTTTCCCTTTTGAGCATTAAGTCTTTTCTGAAAACTTTTTTCTGTTCATAAAAGCAACATATATATGCTTTTGTTTGAGATGAGTCTGGCTGTGTCGCCCAGGCTGGAATGCAGTGACATGATCATGGTTCACTACAGCCTCAACCTCCCTGGCTCAAGCAATCTTCCCACCTCGGCCTTCTGAGTAGTTAGGACCATAGGCGCGTGCCACTACATCCAGCTAATTTTTGTATTTTTTGTAGAGACAGGGTTTCCCAGGCTGGTCTTGAACTCCTGGGCTCAAGTGATCTGCCCACTTTGTTCTCCTAAAGTGTCTGTTTTATTTAATTACAGAAAATAAAAAGTGAATGTTTACTCATTTCCACCCCCAGGGTGACCTCCATGGACAGTTGTATGCATATCTTTGCAGGCTTTTCTGTGGTTATGCAAACATGGAGACTTTTCTTTTTCAGTTATCGCCTGCAATGTGAGACATTTTTTAATATGTTGTAATATGCCTTTATTTTAACTTCGCATTGTTATTACCACGATAAAAGAGAAGTAAAATAATGAAAACTGTTTTTAAACCAGAGACTAAGGCTGGACACAGTGGCTCATGCCTGTAATCCCAGCACTTTTGGAAGCCAAGGCAGACAGATCGCCTGACCTCAGGAATTTGAGACCTGCCTGGGCAACATGGTGAAACCCCGTCTCTACAAAAAATACAGAAATTAGCCAGGTGTGGTGGTGTTCACCTGTAGTCCAAGCTATTTGGGAGGCTGAGGCAGGAGAATTGCTTGAACCCAGGAGGTGGAGTTTGCAGTGAGCTGAGATTGCACCACTGCACTCCAGCCTGGGCAATGGGAACATGACCCTGTCTCAAAAAAACAAAAAAACCCAGAGATTGTAAAGACCGTAGAAAGCAATAAAGCTGTATGTCTTAGCTTACAGCAGACAAAATACTCTTCTGAATTTTTCTGAATAGTCAAATTGTTCTCTGTATGTGAAAACTGAAGAAATAAATGGTTTTCCAGTGAGTAGATGAAATATTCTCAAACTACCATGTGGTTGATGTAAGACCTCTGCTGATTAGACTGTGCTGTTCACTTGCATGTAAACCTGAGGGCTGTTCCTTGTCCATGCGTGCATCTTTTTGTAGCTCATATTTGATGCTGTGCTCAAGATCATGTATGCGGCAGTGGTTCCTTGGAGTGCAGCTGTGGAGCAACTGGTGAAACAGCACCTGGAAATGGACCATCCCAAGTAAGATTACAGTCTACCAAACAATGTTTTGCGCTCTGGAGAAACGTTGTGTTTCGAGTTGACGTTCATTTATGTTTCTATATTGTTTACTGTGTTCCGTAGTACTTCATAAAAAAGATAAACCATGTTAATATGGATAAATTTGCTTTCAGAGTCAAGTTATTACAGGAAAGTTACAAACTAATGGAGATGAAAAAACTTTTACGAGGCTATGGAATAAGAGAGGTAAATCTCTTAAACAAGGAAATAATGGTGAGTATACTCTTTGAAGAGTCTTTTTTCATTTCTAGGGCAACATGGGAAACTCAATGAGGATTTTATGTTCTAGGAGGCTGATAGAGCTAGGTTTCTCCACTACGTTTCTTTTGTTAAATATGATGTTAATCAGGTGTTCAGTTATTTATGAGAGTATTTATTTTTTTTGACATGGAGTTTCGCTGTTGTTGCCCAGGCTGGAGTGCAATGGCGCGATCTCAGCTCACTGCAACCTCCGCCTCCTGGGTTCAAGTGACTTTCCTGTCTCAGCCTCCCGACTAGCTGGGATTATAGGCATGCACCACCACGCCTGGCTAAATTTTTTTTGTGTTTTTAGTAGAGATGGGGTTTCTCTGTGTTGGTCAGACTGGTCTTGAGCTCCTGACCTCAGATGATCTGCCCGCCTCGGCCTCCCATAGTGTTGGGATTACAGGTGCGAGCTACTGCACCTGGCCTTTTTATGAGAGTATTAAAGACACCAAATAGGCCAGGAGCAGTGGCTCACACTCATAATCCCAGCACTCTGGGAGCCCAAGGTGGGTGGATCATGAGGTCAAGAGATCAAGACCATCCTGGCCAACATGGTGAAACCCCGTCTCTACTAAAAATGCAAAAAAATTAGTAAGTTGTGGTGGCACATGCCTGTAGTCCCAGCTACTTGGGAGGCTGAGGGAGGAGAATCACTTGAACCCCGGAGGCGGAGGTTGCGGTGAGCTGAGATTGCGCCACTGCACTCTAGCCTGGCAACAGAGGGAGAGGAGACTGTCTTAAAAAAAAAAAAAAAAAGGCACCAAATAGTAAATTAAGAAGTTATAGAAGAAAGAAGACAGGACTGTGGAATGATCAGAATATAAATCATGTTTTAATTTTTCATACAATTTAGTTTTTTGCTGCATTATTTTAATTTTTTGGCCACTTTGCTCTTAGGAGCAAATGATTTCTTGGTTTTCTGTGAGTTTTATAACAAAGAAATGTTCATATTATCTGTTGCAGAGGGTGGTTAGATACATTCTCAAACAAGATGTCCCATCTTCTTTAGAAGATGCTTTAAAGGTGGCCCAAGCGTTTATGTTATCTGATGATGAGATCTACAGTCTAAGAATTATTGACCTGATTGATAGAGAACAGGTTTGTAAGTTTTATGTTGTCATTTCGTATGGCTTCTTTGTTTCTGTGTTGTTTTTTTTTTTTTTGAGACAGAGTCTCGCTCCATTGCCCAGGCTGGAATGCAGTGGCTGTGTTTCACCATGTTGGCCAGGCTGGTCTGAAACTCCCAACCTCAAGTAATCCACCCACCTCAGCCTCCCAAAGTGCTGAGATTACTGGTGTGAGCTACCGTACTCTGCCTATTGTGTTTTTAAATGTCATTATTTTTATATGATTCTATAATCATAGCAATGCCTAGGAATTAAATCTTCAGCATCTGGGATCGTATTTTACATTTATTTTATTGTTTTCCGTCATCAAAAATGGATTTTCAGCATCAGGATGGATAGCTGATGCATGTGGGGCTTAAAACGTGGTTGACAGGTTGATGGGCACAGCAAACCACCATGGCACATGTAACACGCCTGCACTTTCTGCATTTGTATCCTGAAACTTAAAGTCACATAAAATAAAAATGGATTTTCAGATTATTAAAACATTGAACCATAATCTATTTTTCCAAATGATGTATTTTCATCTTTAAATAGAAAAGAAAGAGGTAAGGCCACACGGTCCTTTGCAAATACCAGCTGTTTTTTCTTCCTTTCAAACCCTGTTTATAGGGTGAAGACTGTCTCCTTCTGTTGAAGTCTTTGCCTCCTGCTGAAGCTGAGAAAACTGCGGAAAGAGTCATCATATGGGCACGATTGGCATTACAAGAAGGGCCAGATCATTCTAAAGAGGTGACATTTTCACTAAGTAAAATATAAGTAAATCCAATTTTTATGGCTATTAATCAATAGGATAGAAAAGATGGACTTACACATATGAAGATCTGCCCTTCTCACTAATCGGGTGGCCTAGTGAACACAATTCGTGGGTAAATTTACTGCTGGTTTAAAAAAAAAACAAAAAACAATTGTGGCCGCCGTGGAGTGGCTGCTTGAGTCCACAGAGAATGACCTGGGAGCTGCGGGTTAGCGGGTGTTTCTGAGTACCTGTTGTACAGGAAAGGTTTCTGTAATGCCTTGCAATATAAACAATGTTTCCTGTTATATAGGACATAATTATTGTCAAATAGTAATATCAGCTACAGAACCAATATACATCTATATAATCTTATAACATTGAAACTTAGAAATGGTTTTGAGAGAGTTTACTTTTGTGCAGATGAGGAATACTTGATTTTTCCAGGATAGTTGGATTCTTACTGATTTTTAATTTTTTCTTTTTTTTAATATCATATTTAGGAGATGAGGTCTTGGTGTGTTGCCCAGGTTGGTCTTGAACTCCTGAGTTTAAGTTCTCTTCTAGCCTTAGCCTTCCAAGTAGCTGGGTTTACAGGCATGTGCCACCATGCCCAACAGTTGGGGTTTTTTTCTTTTCTTTTCTATTTTGAGACAGAGTTTTGCTCTGTTGCTCAGGCTGGAGCGCAGTGACACGATCTCGGCTCACTGCAACCTCTGCCTCCCAGGTTTAAGCGATTCTCCTGCCTCAGCTGGTAGTAGCTGGGATTACAGGTGTGAGCCACCACACCTGGCCAACAGTTGGGTTTTTAAACCCCTAAGGATAGATACCTCCCAACTTCTCTCTTCTCTCAGTCCATTTCAGTAATGTTTTTTCCTGTTGAAAAATGAAGCTGTTTTTTTAAACACCTAATATTTACTATGCAATAGGTTAAGTTAAATAGCTATTTCTTGTTCATAACAAAGGTGTGAAGTAGTTCCTGTTGTTGTCTCCTTATATATTAAGTTCGAAAACTAAAATATTAAGGTAAATGACTTTTTTCCAAGGTTGTTAGAAAGGGGCAGAACCTCAGCTCAAACTGTTTAATACCATAGTCTGTATTCTTAACTACCAGTTTGAATTACTCCCGTTATGAAACTGTTTGAATTTTTTATTGGTGAGGCACTTACTAAACATTTTACATACATCATGTCTTTTAATTAAAGCATCTCCTTTTTTTCCTTCTCTTTTTTTTTTTTTTTTTTTGAGATGGAGTCTCACTCTGTCGCCCAGGCTGGAGTACAGTGGCTGGATCTCGTCTCACTGCAAACTCCGCCTCCTGGGTTCACGCCATTCTCCTGCCTCAGCCTCCCGAGTAGCTGGGACTAGAGGTGCTCGCCACCTCGCCCGGCTAGTTTTTTGTATTTTTTAGTAGAGACGGAGTTTCACCGTGTTAGCCAGGATGGTCTTGATCTCCGGACCTCATGATCCGCCCATCTCGGCCTCCCAAAGTGCTGGGATTACAGGCTTGAGCCACCGCGCCCGGCCTTTTCCTTCTCTTAAATTTTTTTTTTTAAATAATCACTGGAAGGTAGTGGTTATTATATTAGACTTCTGTTCTCTAGGCCATTTTTTAGACTTCTGTTCTTTTTAACTTTTCCAAATGTTTTTTCAAATAATAAATAACTCTAAAAGAGAATAAGGATCTGTTAATCATAATGTAGTTGAAAGGTTATTTGGGAGAGTTGCATATTCTTTGGTATTTCTAAATCATATATCCAGGAGTTCATACTGGAGTTTTTCAGGTCTACCCTGTGTAACGCTCATTAACGATCCATTTTTCAGCTGCCCAACTCCTCCATGATTGTTTTTTCTGCTTCTGTGGTTTTTGTGTATTTGTATATGTACTACTGAATTGGTCAGAAAAGGAAGTAGATTTTGTTTCGCTTTATTTATTTATTTTTAGGGCAAAGCCTGGAGAACGTCTGTAGCGAAGACATCCGTGGACATTCTTAAGATACTATGTGACATTCAGAAAGGTAGCTTTTATTTCTGTTTTCTCATCTCAGTTTTGTTCTAAAGCTCATCCTCTTCAGAAAGAGGCATCAATGATAACTCTCACCACACCCACAGTTTTTCTGGTTCTGATTGTCTTTATTGATCTTACCCATTTTGCTTCATGAAAAGTCTTTCTTCCTTTATTCCTTTATCAGCAATGTAAGAATAGACGGATGCAAAATCAACCTATCATTTCTTTATATGTTCACTTACTGTTTAGTGCTAGACTAGATTTCCTTAGTGTCTCGCACTCATTGCTCATTTTTCTCATTTATTGGTTGCTTATGATGGTGGGGAGAAACCATTTGAACTGAAAGTTAAATAAAAGAGTTAAGAAAGTAACTTTCCAGGGAAAAAAAAGAAGCTACAATTTACTTCAGAAAAATAACTTTTTTGTAACTCATAAACTTCTGTTTTCTACCTCCTGAAAGAATAATTAGATTTTTTTCAAATTAGATCTCTTTTTGTACTTAGTTACTATATATTATCATCTGAGAAGAACTACTGAAGACTTGAGATGAGAGAACCAAAGCTAATTAAAATTTCTTCTCTTTAAAATTCTGATAATATGAGAATTTGCATGTCTGCTATAACTTTTAAAAATTTAATTACAGACAATCTGCAGAAGAAGGACGAATGTGAAGAAATGTTGAAACTGTTTAAAGAGGTTGCTAGCTTACAGGTAAACATATCGAGCCATGTTAAACATTATTACTTGACCAGTCAGTGCATTTGTCCCTCCTTAAAGTTTTCTGCATGGCTGGGCGCGGTTGCTCACCCCTGTAATCCCAGCACTTTGGGAGGCTGAGGTGGGCGGATCACAAGGTCAGGAGATCGAGATCATCCTGGCTAACATGGTGAAACCCCGTCTCTACTAAAAATACAACAATTTAGCCAGGTGTGGTGGCACGCACCTGTAGTCCCAGCTGCTCAGGTGGCCGAGGCAGGAGAATTGCTTGAAACCAGGAGGCAGAGATTGCAGTGAGCCGAGATTGTGCCGCTGGACTCTAGCCTGGGTGACAGAGCAAGACTCCATCTCAAAAAAAAAAAAAAGTTTTTTGCACTAGCCTTTGGGGATTGGAGATACTGGTTTTCCTTCTCTCTCTCTCAACAACTGTATTGAGATGTCATTTACATACCACATAATTCATCCATTTTATGCAATTCAATGATTTTTTTGGTATGTTGTATTATTAATTTTTTTTTTTTTTTTTTTTTTGAGACAAAGTCTCACTCTGTTGCCCATGCTGGAGTGCTGTGGCACAATCTCAGCTCACTGCAGATTCTGCCTCCTGGGTTCAAGAGATTCTCCTGCCTCAGCCTCTCGAGTAGCTGAGACTCCAGGTGTGCGCCACCACGCCTAGCTAGTTTTTATATTTTTAGTAGAAACAGGGTTTTGCCATGTTTGCCAGGCTGGTTTCAAACTCCTGGCCTCAAGCGATTTGCCTGCCTCAGCCTCCCAAAGTATTGGGATTATAGGCGTGAGCCCCCGTGTCTGGATGCATTATTAATTTTTAATTTTGTTAAAATACTTATAACAAAATTTTCCATGTTAACAGTTATTTTGTTTGTAATTCAGTGGTGTTAATTACATTCACAGTGTTGTGCGGCTATCACCTCTATCTACTTTTTCATCACCCTGAGCAGAAACTCTAGCCGTGAAACAATGATTCTCCTTTCCTCTCTTCCGCCAGCCCCTGGTTATCTCTACTTTCTGTCACTGTGAATTTGCTTATTCTAGCTATTTCATATAAGTGGAATCATACAATTAAGCATGTAAAGGAGTCCTATGACCCAAAAATTTGAGACCTGCTGTAAATAGCTTTTTCTGTGAAAAGCATCTGGAGGCCGGGCACAGTGGCTTATGCCTATAATCCCAGCGCTTTGGGAGAATGAGGCTGGAGGATCACTTGAGCTCAGGAGTTTGAGACTAGCCTGGGCAACATAGTGAGACCTTGTCTCTACTAAAAATAACAAAAATTAGCTGGGCGTGGTGATGTGTGCCTGTAGACCCAGCTACTTTGGAGGCTGAAGCGAGAGGATGGTGTGAGACTAGGAGGCAGAGGCTACAGGAGCTGTGTTTATACCACTGCACTCCAGCCTGGGCAACAGAGTGAAACCCTGCCTAAAAATAAGTGAATGAATGGATGGATGAAAACAACTGGGAACTACTTGGCCGAGGTAGGGAGGGGAGGAGGGCACAGGTCGAAAAACTACCCATCAGGTACTATGCTGGGTGATGGGATCAGTTGTGCTTCAAGCCTCAGCATCACACAATATACCCAGGTGTACCCCTGAATCTAAAGTAAAAGTTAAAATTATTTTTAAAAAAACCAAAAAACTATAGATTAAATAGACTTGGGACTTTGTCTTGCTTACCTTTGCTACAGGAGAACTTTGAGGTCTTTCTTTCATTTGAAGATTATAGCAATCGTTCCCTGGTAGCAGATCTCCGTGAGCAGCACATTAAAGCTCACGAAGTTGCACAGGTGAAACACAAACCCAGGAGCACCCCAGAGCCCATAGCTGCTGAGATGCGGAACCCAAGCATGGAATCAAAGCTGCACAGACAGGCACTGGCCCTGCAGGTGTCCAAGCAAGAGCTGGAGGCAGAGCTGACCTTGAGAGCCTTAAAAGACGGGAACATCAAAACAGCACTGAAAAAATGCAGGTGACATTCCAGGTCCCTGAATTGCATAGCTTCTCTGAAAGTAAATTGCTGCTCACGCCTGTAATCCCAGCACTTTAGGAGGCTGAGGCGGGCGGATCACAAGGTCATGAGATCGAGACCATCCTGGCTAACATAGTGAAACCCTGTCTCTACTAAAAATACAAAAAATTAGCCAGGCGTGGTGAAACGTGCCTACAGCCCCAGCTACTAGGGAGGCTGAGTCAGGATTGTGGCAGGTTGCAGTGAGCCAAGATCGCACCACTACACTCCAGCCTGAGCGACAGAGCGAGACTCCGTCTCAAAAAAAAAAAAAAAGAAAGAAAGTAACAATTGCCTGATTTCTTTCTTCAGTCATAAGGGGAGGGCCAGTAACACTCTTTTTTCACAGAAGCGATTCTTGATTTCTCACCCTCAGAGCGTATTTTGGGCCTCAGTGTCAGAAAGTAGTAGCATAAAAGGCAAGTAAGCAATACTGCAGAGTTAGGTAACATAACCATTAAGTTTAGGTTACTGTGCACTTCAGCAGCGAACGGTATCCTTAGTCATTTGAAAAACAGGCTGGGGCCAGGTGTGGCGACTGACGCCTGTAATCCCAGCACTTTGGGAGTCCGAGGCGGGTGGATCACTTGAGGTCAGGAGTTCAAGACCAGCCTGGGCAACATGGTGAAACCCTGTCTCTACTAAAAATATAACTATTAGCTGGGTGTGGTGGTGGGCACCTGTAATCCCAGCTACTTGGGAGGATGAGGCAGGAGAATCGCTTGAACCTGGGAGGTGGAGGTTGCAGTGAGCCGAGATCGTGCCATTGCACTCCAGCCTGGGCGACAGAGTGAGACTCAGTCTCAGAAAAAGAAAAACAGGCTAGGCGCAGTGATTCACACCTGTAATCCCAGCAATTTGGGAGGCCAAGGCAGGAGGATTACTTCAGCCCAGGAGTTTTGAGACCAGCCTGGGCAACATAGTGAGAACTCCTCTCTACAAAAAAAAATTTAAAAATTAGCCAAGTGTGGTGGCACACACCGGAGGCTGAAGTGGGAAGATTGCTTGACCCTGGAGGTTGAGGCTACAGTGAGCCATGATTGTGCCACTGCACTCCTGCCTAGGCGGTAGGGCTAGACCCTGTCTCAAAATAACAAAGGAAAGAAAAGAAAAACTACACTATATACCATGAGAACATTTAAAAGACATTTAATGTGTTGATGGTGGTGATGATATATTAATCCAAGAAAGGCACATGCGTTTACTTTCAGTGTGAGTTGTAACTACCAATGCTTTCTTTCTTCCAAAGAGACTTGTTTAAGTATCACTGCAATGCTGATACTGGGAAATTGCTGTTTCTGACATGTCAGAAGCTTTGTCAGATGTTGGCTGATAATGTCCCAATGACAGTGCCTGTGGGACTGAGTCTTCCTTCCGTGATACATGATCTAGCATGCCAAGCTGCCACCATTTGCAGTCCAGGTGACAAGATTTATAAAATATGTAGTTTTATATTCTCTGGTTCATTTCACACTTGTCTCCCAAATGCTGTCTCTTTACAATTGGGCATCATGGTTATCAGACTAGAGATAGTATCTGCGTTTTACAAAGGGATGCTTATAATTGATTCTCTTTGAGGATTATTGTTTGGAAGTATTCAAAATATTAACAATGTCATTTCTGACTGTTGACATTACTCACTTTCGTAGGATTATGAAATTCCTTGCCTCCCATATCTGATCTTATTTTCAAGCCAACCTTGAGAAAAAGGTTTACCTTTTTAAGGTAGTCAAAACTATATGGAACCTTTCTATCTGCATTGCGGCTTTCCTTAGAATTTTAAATTATAAAAAGGTTAATTATAAAATAAGGTAATTATTAAAAGGTTATTTTCATTATCCTAAATACATGAAATATGAATTTAATGATTTTTCTCCATTTTGTTTCAGATTTTTTACTAGATGCTTTAGAACTGTGTAAACATACTTTAATGGCTGTAGAACTTTCTAGACAGTGCCAAATGGATGACTGTGGAATCCTCATGAAAGTAAGTTACTTTTGAGTTTTTTCCTTAAATCCCGGGCAACCCATGATGCACCGTTTTTTTTTTGTTTTGTTTTGTTTTGTTTTTGTTTTTTTTGAGACAGGGTTTTACTCTGTCACCCAGGCTGGAGTGCAGTGGCATGATCAAGGCTTACTGAAGCCTCGAACTGGGTTTAAGCAGTCCTCCCACCTCAGCCTCCTGAGTAGCTGGGACTACAAGTGTGTGCCACCACATCTGACTAATTTAAAAAAAGGTTTTTTTTGTAGAGACAGGGTCTTACCATGTTGCCTAGGCTGGTCTTCAATTCCTGGGCTCAACTGATTCCCCCACCTCAGCCTCTCAAAGTGCTGGGATTACAGGCATGAGCCACACTGCACCTGGCCCGTTTTTTAATCATTTGCAAAGTTTATGAAAATACTGAATCCATCTCTTATATTTTCTTACCCTAGACTGGAAAACAACATAAGGGCGTGAGGCCACTTCTCTGTTCCAGTCACTTAATTGGCTTTAATTTGCACCAGCTTTCAAAACATTGGGCCTCCAGCAAGGCCTCCCTCGACATTGTCCGTCTGTTAGAGTTTAACTTAAATTGAAATTTCTATAAGCCATAGACCAGAAGAAACACAATATGTGTGGTAGTATTTGGCCACCCATGCTGTTTGGCTCTAGGCCAGATGTGATGGCTGACGCCTTATAATCCCAGTACTTTGGGAGGCCAAGGTGGAGGGATTATTTGAACCCAGGAGTTCAAGACCAACCTGGGCAGCACAGTGAGACCTCATCTCTTATAAGTTTAAAAATTCAAATAAAGGATGGGTGTGGTGGCTTATGCCTGTAATCACAACACTTTGTGAGGCCAAGGTGGGTGGATCACTTGAGGTCAGGAGTTCAAGACCAGCCTAGCCAACATGGTGAAACCCCATCCCTACTGAAAATACAAAAACTGGCCAGGCGTGGTGGTGCAAGCCTGTAATTCCAGCTTCTCGGGAGGCTGAAGCACAAGAATCGTTTGAACCTGGGAGGCAGAGGTTGCAGTGAGCCGAGATCATACCTTTGCACTCCAGCCTGGGCCACAGAGTGAGACTCTGACTCAAAAAAATAAATAAATAAAATAAAATAAATTGTTTGGCTCTAATAGATCTGATTCTGCTTGCTGAAGATGGTTACCTGTGTTGTGCAGCGTACTGACTCCTCTCTTTTTTGTATGATTTGGCACCTAGGCTTCTTTTGGGACGCATAAAGATCCATATGAAGAGTGGTCTTACAGTGACTTCTTCAGTGAAGATGGAATTGTTCTTGAGTCACAGATGGTGCTTCCGGTGATTTATGAACTGATTTCATCTCTTGTGCCTCTAACTGGTAAATCTTATTTGTGTCATTATTTTCTGTATATTTCTGCCTTATGTAAATTTAAACTAGAGGTTTGAAGCTAGAACTACACACAGTAATGTGGGTGAACCTTATAGGCATAATGTAGAGCTAAAGAAGCAGATACAAAAGAATAAATACTGTGTGGTTTCATTTATGTAAAGTTCAAACACAGGCTAGGACTAAGCTAGTGCTGTTTGAAGTCAGGGCAGTGGTTACCGTTGGGGGTGGGAAAGGGGAAGGAGGGGACTGGGGAGCTGGCCGTGTTTTGTTTCTTGTTTTGTTTTTCCGTTTTGGTTTTTTTTGGAGACGGAGTCCTGCTCTGTCACTCAGGCTGGAGTGCAGTGGCATGATGTTGGCTCACTGCACCTCTGCCTCCTCGGTTTAAGCAATTCTCGTGCCTCAGCCTCCTGAGTAGCTGGAATTATAGGCTCATGCCACCACACCCGGCTAATTTTGTATTTTTAGTAGAGATGGGGTTTCACCATGTTGGCCAGGCTGGTCTCAAACTCCTGACCTCGAGTGATCTGCCCACCTCAGCCTTCAAAAGTGCTGTGATTACAGGCGTGAGCCACTGTGCCCGGCCGATATTCTGTTTCTTGATCTGGATGCCGCTCCTTCAGGCTGTGGACATTTATCAGGTTATACACTTACCTGTGCATTTTCCTTTGTGTATTTATTTGTCTTTAAAGCAGCAGTTTGCTTTAGAACTTTTTTTATAATCGTGAAATATTTACACATCTGTGAGTGTATGTGCTGTGTGAGGGTTATTTTCTTTAGTGTTATTTATGTATTTATTAGTTGTATAAATTTAAGGGGTCCAAGTGTTATTTTGTTACATGGATATATTGCATAGTGATGAAGTCTGGGCTTTTGGTGTGGCCATCTATTTAGTATTATTTAACGTTTTATTATCTTTTGTAGAAAGCAAGAGATATCCCTTGGAGTCTACTAGTTTGCCATACTGCTCCCTTAATGAAGGTATTTGGCATCAAAATATATAGCATTCTATTAAGATTTCTTCCCTTTTTTTTTTTTTTTTTTGAGACAGAGTCTTGATCTGTTGCCCAGGAGTGCAATGGCACGATGATTGCGGCTCACTGCTGCAACCTCTCTACTTCCCGGGTTCAACAGTTGTCCTGCCTCGGCCTCTCAAGTTGCTGGGATTACAGTCGTGTGCTAATTATTTTGTATTTTTAGTAGAGACAGGGTTTCACCATGTTGGCCAGCCTGGTCTTGAACTCCTGACCTCAGGTGATCCACCCTGCCTGACCTCAGGTGAATTCCTGACCTCAGGTGATCCACCTTAGCCTCCCAAAGTGCTGGGATTACAGGCGGGAGCCACCGTGTCCGGCTTCAAGATTTCTTAATAGAAAGATATGGTGGTGTGCTCCTGTGGTCCTGGTTACTTGGGAGGCTGAGGTGGGAGGATCTCTTGAGCCCAGGATGTCAAGGCTGCAGTGAGCTATGATGGCACTACTGTACTCCAGCCTGGGCAGCAGAAGACCCTATCTCTAAAAAACAAAAAATCGTAGTTCTAGAAATTTCTTGAAATTCTAAATATGAATGTGATTTAATATCCTTAATGTAATTGTTTATTTTTTTTTACATTGTTATTTGTCTAAAAGTTCAGTAGATTATGTGATTTGGCTCGTAGTGTTAACTTCTATGAATTTATTTATAAATTTTTATCTTTCAAATAGAGAAATGATTTTTCTTCAGCTAAAAATTTAAACATCTCAATTAAAATAGGCAAGTTACAATCAAAGTATCTCATTAACTAGTGAACTTAGTTATTTTCTGGTTTAAGTCAAGCCTCATGTTAACTAACTTTGAGAACAAACTCTGTGACTGTTACCTGTATTGAAGAAGTAGGCTGTCCCTGAAAACAGTTTTCAATAATAGGATCTTTCTTTGTTTAAAAAATCTAAATATTAAAATACTTTATCACTCTGCAGGAGATGGCCTTGTTTTACCTGTTATAAATTCCATCTCTGCCCTGCTTCAGAATCTTCAGGAATCTAGCCAGTGGGAGCTGGCCCTAAGATTTGTGGTTGGTTCATTTGGTACCTGTCTTCAGCACTCTGTGTCAAACTTCATGAATGCCAGTTTGAGTGAAAAGGTAGAGCTTCAAGAACAAATACTTTGACTTGGGGTGAATATAGATGTAAAAGCACTAACAAAGGAATTTGGAGTCCACGTTTTTCTACTGTCTTTGTAGCAAGGAAATTGATAATTCGTCAGATTTAAGAACATTTGTTGAGCATCTCTTAAGATTCTGGTGTGGAAATAAGGTGCCTGCACACATTTTCATACTCATTCTTTACAACAGCCCTGGAGTTTCCGGTTTACAAATGTGTAAACTCAGATTCAGGGAGGGGGAATAAGTTACACAAGGTTTTATATTGTAGTAGTAAGTCTTCACACTAAGTTCAGTGCAGTTTCCACTATACCACATTTGCTCAAAATATCTGCTGTTAATTTTGTTATCACCTAAATGGCCAAATTATTGTAATTACTTCTGAGAGTATCACTGAGCATCATTGAAGAGATTCTAGAAGACTAACTGTTGATAACTTGCTTATGAAGCTGGCCCTCAGAGGGAGTTGTCTTCATTTCTACTACTCTGTTGATACGTATTACATGCTGGTTCTTTTTTAATGAACTGTATTGAGGTATAGTTTTCAAAATTAAAATGCATGTTTTAAGTGTATCAACCAATGTATTCACCTTGTCACCAACACCACAGTGAAGACTTAGGGTATTTTTAATGCTTCCTCTTTGCTCCCTCCCAGTCAATCCCCCACCCCCAGACACAACTTTCTATCACTGTAGGTTAAATTCTGATACTTTTTGGATATAATGATGAATTTTCAAAGTTCCTTAATATTTGAAAAAATTTTCAGAATGATACCTAGAACTAGACCTAAATATTTTTTTGTTCTTTTCTGAAAGTTATTTGGAGAGACTGCATTAGTTAAATCAAGGCATGTTGTTATGGAATTGAAAGAAAAAGCTGTTATATTTATCAGGGAAAATGCTACAACACTACTGCACAAAGTAAGTATTTGTTCTTGGTAAAAATTTTGGGTTTTTTTGCCTTTTACCTTGGTTAACTGCATATGACTCAATAGTTTATGATTCAGTACAGTAGTGTTTTACTATTCAAAAACTTCAAGAAACTATATTATAGCTAATCAGTTGTATTTTTATTATGGTAATTGACATGCTATGGAGCTTTTATGAAATAGTAGTCCATCTTGTCCACTGTCATCTCCTGATTTTAGTTACTTATATTTATATTTATTTATTTTTTAGAGATGAGGTTTTTCTCTGTCACCCAGGCTGGAGTGCAGTAGTATGATCATAGCTTGCTGCAGCCTTGAACTTCTGGGCCCAAGCGATCCTCCTGCCTCAGGCTCCCAAGTTACTGAGATTACAGGCATGAGCAACTGTGCCCCACTCTGTAGTTATTTATTTTACAGATTAAAGCATTCCAATGATCCTTTTACTTACTTCTATTCCAGAAATCCTAATTTTCCATTACCCTTTATTTTTTAAAAGATTCGAATAGACTTTTGATGAAAATATAGTTGCATCAGGCATTTAATTTTCATTTGTCAGATTACTTCTTTAAAAAAATTTTGGTATTTTTTTGGAGACAGGGTCTCACTCTGTTTAGGCTGCAGTGCAGAGGCACCATCATAGCTTACTGCAGCCTTGAACTCATGGGCTCAAGCAGCCCTCCTGCTGCTCAGCCTCCTGTGTATCTGGGGCTGCTGGTGCGCCCCCATGCCTGGCTAATTTTTGAAGTTTTTGTAGAAAGAGGTCTCACTGTGTTGCCCAGACTGGTCTTGGACTCTTGGCCTCAAACAATCCTTCCACCTTGGTCTCCTGAAATGCTGGAAGTACAGGCATTGATGATTGTGCGCGCCAGTGGCCCGCATTTTTTTGTTTTTGTTTTTTTGAAACTAGAATCATGCGCCGATGCTGTGTCCGGCTGCGAATGGAGTGTAGCGATTCTTGGTCCACTGAAGCTACGCTCCTGGCGGTTCCATGCGGTTTCCTGCCTCAGGGCCTCGCCTAGTACAAGCGGGCCATGACACCATGGGCCTTTGGCTAATTTTTTTGTATTTTTAGTAGAGACGGGGTTGTCACCGTGTTGAGGGCCAAGTGGTCGTCGAGTCTCCTGACCGTCGGTGAGGTCCACCCGCGCACGGCTCGCCAAAGGTGCGTGGGATTACGGAATGACGCACCGCACTGGCCCAAAATTTTTTGTTTGGAGGATATTTCAAGTTTCAGGAATTGTTTAGAATAGGTCGCAGAAGATCTCATGGTATACCCTATTAGGTTGCTTATCGCTTTTCTGGGCATGCTCGCTCTTTCATGCTCTGTTTTGTATTTGATAGTATAAGAAGTCATTTTGATATTTTGGTGATGTGATTTATTCATAGTTTAGGAAGGTAAGGGTGTCATTCCTTGTGATGGCGTCGCTTTGACCCTAATATGTTGCAGTGCCCGTAGTGAACGTGTAGTTGCGTTTCCGTTATTTTGGATATGTGAATAGAAGGACGCGGTTTAAACATGAGCAACAGTATTAGAAGCGCTGTGTGTTAGCTATGAACTTTTCATGAAGGATACTTGTTCTGTTCGATAGTGATATATAAGTTCAGAATTTAGTGATAAACTCGAAGCAGCTGTATAATTCGTGTTTTTTTCTTGTAAGAAAGTTTTTTAATTTAAAATTCTTCCTATTTGTATTTCTGCCCTTTGTAAACAAAGTTAATTCTGTTTTGATTGTGAAGAATTTGCTTCTTTTGCTGCTTTCTTCCCATAGGTATTTAATTGTCGCTTGGTAGATCTTGACCTGGCGTTGGGTTACTGCACTCTCTTACCTCAAAAAGATGTGTTTGAAAATCTCTGGAAGCTCATAGATAAAGCATGGCAGAATTACGACAAAATCTTGGTATGCCCTAACGAAGCACATCTTCAATTCTTGAAGTATTCAGGATTTGAGGGGAGAAATGAAGTTGGCTTTGCCACCTGGTTGTAAAGATTTAGGAGAATAAATGTTGAGCTAACTTGTGATTTCTACCAACTTCTGCTTGACTGGTGACATACTGTTGCCTGTATATGCAAGTTATAAGCATTGTTCAACCCAAAGAATTACGGTTTTTTAATTTCTTAAAATCTGTGTACACCCTTAGAACCTCAAATCTTATTTTGGTTTAGTTGAAACCCTAGACCCATGAATCAGTTTATTTTTGTAGGATAAGTTTAATAGATAGAAAACTTCTCTTAGATATTGTGTTAAAATTTGCCTTTTATGGGGATTTTCTTGCAAGATAACTAAAATTTGGCCTTTTATTATAAAGGAAAGCCAGGCTAAATATATAGCATTATACGAAAAGCTGAATTACCTAAATATTACATAAGAAGTAACGACTGGCCGGGCGCGGTGGCTCAAGCCTGTAATCCCAGCACTTTGGGAGGCCGAGATGGGCGGATCACGAGGTCAGGAGATCGAGACCATCCTGGCTAACACGGTGAAACCCCATCTCTACTAAAAAATACAAAAAACTAGCCGGACGAGGTGGCGGGCGCCTGTAGTCCCAGCTACTCGGGAGGCTGAGAAAGGAGAATGGCGTAAACCCGGGAGGCGGAGCTTGCAGTGAGCTGAGATCTGGCCATTGCACTCCAGCCTGGGCGACAGAGCGAGACTCCGTCTCAAAAAAAAAAAAAAAAAGAAGTAACGACTGTGTACAAAATAATATGTAACATTCTACATGGTTATCACAAAGAAAGTTATGATTTTTGTTGTTGGGTTTCATCTAAAAGGTGTTTTAAGAATATATTCTACTTATGATTGAACTTTAATTCTATTTTAATTTTTTAGGCAATATCTCTGGTGGGCTCTGAGCTGGCAAGTCTCTATCAGGACATAGAAATGGGGCTTAAGTTCCATGAACTCAGTACTGATGCCCAGTGGGGCATTCGTCTTGGTAAACTTGGTGTGAGTATTCTTTGTACTGCTGTCATCAATTCTGATAATTACCCACTTGGAAAATTTAAAACAAAGATCTTGTCCTTTACTTTTGGGAAGACAGTGTATGTGTACTGCCTCATACATTTTATTAAGTACACACATAGGTGCTTTCAAAGAAATAAGCAACTTTTTGCCTCATTTCCTTTTTTCTGTATTTTTAAGAAAATTAAAAGGGGCCTGACATTTTCAGCTGCTTAACTTTCTCATTTATAGGTATATATCTAGTATCAATTGACATTTATGCTATTTCGGGCCTAGCCTTTAGCCTCATACTTTTGTTTTCTGCTGCTGTTATTTAAAGATAATATTAAAATGTATATACAGCTATACCATGCTTTAAGAACTCCTAGAAGGGGGAAGGTAAATGGCCTTTCTTTTTTTATTTTTTTTTTTTTTGAGACGGAGTCTTGCTCTTAAATATTACATAAGAAGTAACGACTGTGTACAAAATAATATATTTGTCAGATTACTTCTTTAAAAAAATTTTGGTATTTTTTTGGAGACAGGGTCTCACTCTGTTTAGGCTGCAGTGCAGAGGCACCATCATAGCT